GTTTGTTCATCAAAATTTATTTTATACATTTAAAGGTTTAAAGAAAGTTATTTATTTACTTTTAACTTACTTTTGTTATAATATATTTATTTAGTTTTTGTTTTGTAGGATTTTAATATTTTTTGGTTTTTAAACCAAGCATTTTATTATATAAGTTTATATAACAATTAAAAAGTACATTTCTTTAATAATAAAGTATACAGTTATAAAAAAAATTCTAATAATATAAAACTTATAGCTATAAAAAATAGTAAATTAAACTATTTTTTTGTTGTAATGTAATCACAAAGTAGTTTAGCAAAAAAAAGTATAAACTAAATTTCAATAATAAAAACACAAAATTATACTAAAATCTAAAGGAAAACTTGTTCGTTATGGTTGGAATTGTTAAATATTATAGGAAAAAATAACAAATAAGACGAAGCAACAAACAAAAAAGCACCCCAAAAACAACAAAAACTAAACAATAATAAAAATGTAATGATTAAAAGCAGGAATATTAAACTTTAAGTTAAAGAATTTAAAAGCAAAATGTAAAAGCTTTTAAATGAATAAAAGGATTTGTTTATAGACCAAACTAAATTATTTGCAACACCCTGTTGAAAATGAAGCTATGTTTACAAATCATTCACAATAGTTTAAAATTCACAATAATAATTGATTTCATATGAAAATTTCATTATGTTAATGAAATTTTTTATATTAATGAAATGAATTACAAGATAAAACAAACTAAAAAGCAAAAACTACATAAAAAAATAAACACAAATTACTAATAGCAACAAAAATTAACCCAACAAAAAGAAATTACTAAAATAAAAACAAAATTTTATAAAATATAAAAATTTTATATAAAAACATGAATGAAAAAACTTTACACTTGCTGTTCAACAACTAGCAATAGTTGTTTTTTAGAGGCTTTGTTTTTGTTGTTGTTTCGTTTTATTTTTGTATTAGCATGTTAACGTCGGGAGCTGTCTAACTAGGGAAAGGTTTTACCAATATTGAAAGTGTACCTCGTTGTAATAATTGAAAGGATATTGTAGCCTTTTTCGGGTTTTAAACATAATTTATTGATTGTTTGTTTGAGGAGTATGAGTTTGAGAGAAAAATAGAAGGAAAAAAAAAAATTAAAATAAAAACAAATTAATTTTTATGTGGTATTAAGAAAATAAATGCTTGAAGAAGGGGGGAGTGAATGAAATTAATGCAAAAATACTTAATGAAAAGTTTAATTAAAGTGTTCAAAACTTAATTTCGAATTTGAATATAACAACAAAAATTATCAAAAATAAAAGTTTTAACAGCTATCTATCATTATCTATGAGAAAAAGTGAAAAAAATTATGTTCGAAAATTCGAACGTAATTTTGAACTTCAAAAAAATCGCCAAAAAGTGCTTCATTTATTGCTATTTATCAATTTCTGTTAAAAATTTTGAAAAAAATTACATTTTCCTTAAGTTCGAAAATTCGAACTTAATTTCGACTTTCAAAAAAATTGTCAAAATTGCAAAAAATTGCTTAATTTCTTTGATAATTTTCAATTTCTGTTAAAAATTTTGAAAATTATTAAATTTTTCTTAAGTTCGAAAATTCGAGCTTAATTTCGAAAAAAAAAAAATCGTCAAAATTGTTCAAAAAAGGTTAATTTCTTGCTACATTTCAATTTTTGTTAAAAATTTTGAAAAAAAAAATAAATTTAGCTTAGATTGAAAATTCGAACTTAATTTCGAAAATTCGAACAGAATTTCGAACTTCAAAATATTATCAACATTGCTAAAAAAAATGACTCCAAATTGTTATTATTCAATTTCTATGACAAAATAGTGCAATATTGAAATTCGAAAATTAGGTTCTAAAATTCGACCTTAATTTCGAATTTTAAAATATCAACCAAATTGTTAAAAAAGTGACTCCAAATTGTTATTATTCAAATTTTATGACAAAATAGTGAATAAAATTAATAAAATTTGTATGTTCGAAAATTCGAACTTCAAAAAAATCGTAAAATTTTTAACAAAATTTCTTCATTATCTATCAAAAATAGTAAAAAAATGTATGTTCGAAAATTTAAACTTAATTTCGAATTTTGAAAATTTATCAAAATTGTATAAATATTATTTAAAATAACTATTTTTCAACTTTTACTACAAAAATGCGCCAAAAAAATTATATTTTTTTATGTTCGAAAATTCGAACTTATTTTCAAATTTTGAAAAACCACGAAAATTGAGATAAATATATTTTTAAAAGGCTATGAATTATAGTGAAAAATATTAGTGAAAATCTAATTTTTTTCTTGTTCGAAAATTCGAAATTAATTTCGAATTTTGAAAAAATTTTCAAAATGGTAAAAAAATAGTTCCGAATCGTTGTGTACTAATTTCTATTGAAAAAAATTAGAAAATTTAAAAAGTTTTCAATGTTCAAAAATTCGAACTTAATTTCGAAATTTAAAAAATCATGCATAATGTAAAAAAGTTTGTCTTAACTGTTAATTTTCAATTTCTATTCAAAATTTTAAAAGAAATTTTAAATTTTTTTAGTGTTCGAAAATTCGAAGATAATTTCGAATTTCAAAAAATTCATTAAACTTATGAAAAATTTTTTGAAATTACTATTTTTCACTTTCTGTTAAAGTAATGTGAGAAAATATACAATTTTTCTATATTCGAAAATTCAAACCTAATTTCGAATTTGAAAAAAATTCATCGAAATTACATAAAAATGATTTCAAATTACTATTTTTCAACTTTTGCTGAAAAAATGTGCAAAATATTTAAATTTTTCTTAATTTCGAAAATTCGAACTTAATTTCGAATGTGAAAAAAATCAAAAAAGTTGTGATAAAATTTTTGTTCTAAAATGCTATTCAACAATTCCTGTGAAAAATATGAGTGAAAATCGAAATTTGTCTATGTTCGAAAATTCGAACTTAATTTCGAATTTTAAGAAATACATCAAAATTGGGGGAAAAATGCTTTAAAATGCTATTATTAGAAAATTAGAAAAAAATTTTAAATTCTTATGTTCGAAATAAATTTGAATGTAAAAAAATGCATCAAAATTGCAAAGAAATGCTTCAAGTTACTATTTTTTCACTTTCTGTTTTTTGAAGGACCTTAGACAAAGGACATATCTTTCCAGCAAAAATAAAGAGTTTTTCTAAAATTTGCAAACACAAAGAAATATTATTTCTTTAGTTCTTTCTAACTAACCTAGTAACATCCCCTTTACACAAACAGCATCCACCATAGTTCAAACAAGTTTCTCTAACCTAACTTATTATTCTGCATTCGTTTTTTTATTGAAACTTAAAAAGTAAAGAAAAAGTTATCAAAAAAATATGAGAAATGTATTCACTAATGAAAAGAAAACCTTAATATTACTAAGAAAAAAATCATAATAAATGAATACTAATTTTTAATGGGGTTTTTTTGTGTGTTTCTTTTCAACCTGCGCTTGCTTGCATTTCTATTTCTTTTATATAAAACGATTTGTAAACATAAACATATCGACATGTAAGACCAACCTTAAATAATTGTCATCCATAAGATCGACATAATCAGCCTGTTGTTCGTTATCGGGTATATACAGATCATAAACATAACCAGTATCGGAATCTGTAGGCATAGTTAAGGCAGCTGCAGCAGCAGCAGCGCTAGTAGCAGCAGCTGCCGCTGATGTAGAAGCTTCCAACAAATGTTCATTTGTTGTAGATTTTAAAACAGTCTTATTATCAGCAGCATTAGGTGTAGTAGTGGTGGCATTATGTTTTTCAATATCAACTATGGTTATCTCTTTAGATTTTTTGGCTGCAGAGGCACTGGCTTCGTCTTCGTCTCCCTCCAAAGTGGTGCGTAAACAATTGACCACACGAAAACGTTGTTCCTGTTGTTGTTGACGCACTTCCTGTCGCAGCTTATCGTTAAAATTCGAGGGTTTATGGGATTTTTGCAAAACCAACTCTTTGGCCTGCTCTTTGGAAAGGCGTGCATATTGGGTGGTAGCTGTATCATCCTATAGGCGAAAAAAGTTAATGAAATATTAAGAAAACTTGGAACAGTTTCCATTTTCTTCAAAGACCTACCTGTTCCTTTATGGTACCGGCAAATTTCAATAATGTGGATAATTCTTCTTTGGCACCACCACTAGCACCCGTTTCCTCTTCAAGACGACGTCTTTTGCCATTTAATACAAAGGCCGACAAAGGCTCTTCGTCTATACGTCTTTTAACTCTTACTACAGCTGGCATTTTTTGTTAATTTTTATAATTCTTTTATTATTTTTGCAATTCTAATGTTTTTCTTTAGTTTTTTTATTATAATAATTTAATAATAATATAATTTTTTTGTAAATAATTTCTGCAAACTTTGTGAAATATACACGCCGTTTTTTTTTTCTTTTCTTCTGGATTAAACTAACAAAAAAAAGATCAGAGCCCTGTGCCGACAAATATTAACGGCGGCGACGGCTGACACTAAAAATATCGGCGGCGATGAAAAAAAAAATAAAAAAATATATTTTAAAAAATTTGATTAACTCTTAAAAATTAAAAAAGTTTTATGATGATCGACCTATATTATACCAGGTATTTATTTTTGCCGCATAGAGTAATCTATATTATAAAATTTTTAATAATCTAAATAACATTTTGATTTGTTTTTTTTTCAAACTTTAATTTGTAATACGCCGTTAAAAGCGCCTCTCAAAGACATGTTATCAAAATTAATTATAATTCCTTCATGTGAAATATAAATAAAATTGGAAAAACTTTAAAAAATTGTATTTTTATAATTTGATCCAGATCACCAAACATTGGCGTAAGGACAAAAATTCTTCAAACTATTTTAAATTATTAAAATTAATAAAACATCTATATTTATTATATAGTCTCTATAATTTTTTTTATTTAAAGATAATTTTTTACTTTAAAATTATAATAATTTAATTAAAATTTTTAAGCACATTTAAAGCATTTTTTTTTTTCAAATATATATTTTTTTTGAAGAAACAAATTGGAAAACGAACTAAGAAATTTTATTTCATTACATAAAATATTTTAAATACTATAACTAATTGCTATTAGCATTGAGTATACATTTATAATGTATCTGTTTTTTCTTTTTGTTAATTTTACTCTTAAGGGGAATCTCAGTTTTGGCCGTTCAATCGGGATACAAGTAGTCTTGCAAGATATTTTGGAAAGCAATTTTAATTTTACCACGATCTCGACCATTTAGCTTTTGTATATCGGGCAGTAGACTCATTAAGAACATGGCATCTGGATCGGTTTTACAATCACATAGCTCGGGTGTGGCCGGAGCGGGAACCGCTAGTAAGGAGGAAGAATTAGCTGAGCCGGCGGAGGAGGTGGTGGGGTTTAAGGGGTTAGCTGTGGAATTAATAGCGGAAATTTCAAAACGTTGCTGGTGATGATGATGTTGCGTATGACTCATGGAGGATGTGGAGGAATAGTGTGAAGCCGAGGTGGAGGAGGTGGTAGTATTATGATGTTGATTGTTGGAGGATGAGGAGGAATTTAAACGAGCCGTAGAGTTGGTAACCGGTTCCAGGTCATTGTTTACTACCGAGGAGGCTGAAGAGGAATTGGAGTTATTGCTCGTATTGCTGCTGGTGTTATTGTTGTGGCTAGAGTTATTGTTATGACTTTGGGTGGTAGTGCTGACCACCTCCAGAGGTTTAGCAAAGGTGGGTCGCACAAATGACACATTATTGGTGTGATTGGTGGAGGAAGCCATTAACGAAGACGAGGAAGACTGTGAGGAAGAGATATTATCATGAGATCGAGCTCTTTTGTGGCGAAAATCCTCATAGAATGCTCTCGATTGTAGGCGCTGCAAATGCTGTAAACGCTGTTGTTGTTGCTGCTGTTGTTGTTGTCTTTTTTCCAAAGAATTTAACACAAAGTTGCGCATTTCCGCATCATCCGCATCGTGATCATCCTCATCTACTAAGGGTCTTTCCACATTATCATACTCATCAGCAATATCTTCACATTCGGACTTAATAATATCGTGGGCCAGGGTAGAATGAGCAAAATGTTGTGGTGGATTAGAGGGTTCATCATCGATCATATCATCCAGTTCGGAGTTATTTGGCTCGCCATCATCAAAATAACCATCCAAATAAGGATCTAGCTGAGGCTGTGACGGTGAGCCATTATTTGATTGTGTATTAAGAGAACTAGCGGCTGCTGAGGCTGCCGCAGCCACTGCTCGCTCCCTTTGCAGCCGATTGGATAAGGAACTTATTTGCACTAAAGCATCTTGTACTTGTGAATCCAACGATTTGGATTGTTGATGTTTTCTGTAGGTGAAAAATGAAAAGAAATGGAAATATTTTTAGTTTTAATGTTCTGTGGGGTAAAGCAACACTCACTTCCTTAAATAGGGATGTAGGAAGAACATGCGATCGAAATAGGTCCAGCAAGGCGGCACCTTTTCCTCGAGATAATTCGTATACTCACGGCGAAACGAGATGCGCAAGTTAGTCCATTTAGCCAGACTGGCTCCAGCTGTAAAATGAATTTTATTAAGGCCAGACATTTTTATTGCTATATAGGTATCTCACTCACGATTCTTTTCCAATTTCAAGTCGACCTCACGCCAAAAATTCTCCACATAGGGACGACAGAAATAGTATTTGTGTCGTGGATTATAAATTGCCTCATTACGTTGCACTAAATCAATTAAGGCAAATACCTCCTCCGTCAACCATCTAGTGGAAGTACAGGCATTATTATTATTACTATTATTAATGGTGGATGAAGAAGCCGCATTCGAAGAGCCCGTTATAGAGCTAAAATATTCCGTAGACATATTAGTAATTAAATCACATTATTTTTTCCCCATTCACTTTAGTGTCTAACGCAATTTTTTCGCAATGTGATGTGGGTAATAAACGAGAAAAAAGCAATTTATAAATTTTATTGCGAAAAATTCTTGCAAAAAATTTTCACCAGCAAATAAAAACACACAGCTGTTCGACAGAGTTGTATTTTCCACATAAACAACAGAATTAATAACATTATGAGACATGCTATAAGAAAACTTATAGTTTATGAAACACCCAGTAACAAATGTTGACATTTCTAACTTAGTTTGTTAAAACTATATAATTTTTAAAAATATTAGCCAATAACACTACTTATAATTTATTTTTATTATAAAAATGTTATAATTATTGAAATATATTGTTTTTATTAATATTTTTATTGAAATTTATCAGTTTTTTCTATTGTATAATAGTTTTTTATATGTGGCAGCGCCCTCTGCCATTTAGTAGTTTTGTTGTTATTTTGAACAGCTGTTCAATGTAAACAAACTTCTTTTACATTTGGCGCGCAAATTCCTGTATACAAGCAGCTGTCAGTGTAAATTGGCGTGTGTTTTTCTTTTTCGGCTTTAAACTATTTTTGTAAACTTTTATTGGTTTATTTTATAAAAATCTGTTAAAGCGGTTGTTTGTTATTCTTTTTATAAGTTGTTTTATTTGTTGTTAAAAGTATTTCCACTAAAAATCAACTATGGATGTAGCTGATGCTAATATTGGTCAACTGCGTGTTAAAGATGAAGTGGGCATAAGATGTCAAAAGTTATTTCAAGATTTTTTGGAAGAGTATGCACTGAAAACATTGAAATAATAAGAATCATAAAAATTAATGTAAATTTTCATATAGATTCAAAGAAGATGGTGAAATAAAGTATGTTAAACCAGCTGCCGATTTGGAGTCACCCGATCGTTGTACATTGGAGGTCAGTTTCGATGATGTTGAAAAGTATAATCAGAATTTGGCCACCACTATAATAGAGGAGTACTATAGGTAAGTTTATTAATAGAAATTACTTGTGGATATCCTGTATAATTTTCTTAAAAACTTTTAGAATCTTTCCTTATCTCTGTCAATCTGTTTCCAACTACGTCAAAGACCGCATTGGCTTGAAAACCGAAAAAGAGTGTTATGTTTCCTTTACCGAGGTGCCGACACGTCATAAGGTACGTGATTTAACCACCTCCAAGATAGGCACTTTGATTCGTATCTCCGGCCAAGTGGTGCGTACTCATCCTGTACATCCCGAACTGGTTTTGGGTGTTTTCATGTGTTTGGATTGTCAAACCGAAATACGCAATGTGGAGCAACAGTTTAAATTTACCAATCCCACTATTTGCCGTAATCCTGTTTGTGCCAATCGTCGTCGTTTTATGCTGGATGTGGAGAAATCCCTCTTCGTTGATTTCCAAAAGATACGCATCCAAGAAACTCAATCGGAATTGCCTAGAGGTTGTATTCCGCGTTCGGTGGAAATTATTTTACGTTCTGAATTGGTAGAAACTGTTCAGGCGGGAGATCGTTATGATTTCACCGGCACTTTAATAGTGGTGCCCGATGTAGGTGTTCTTAGTATGCCGGGCGCTAAGGCTGATATGGGTTCACGCCATAAGCCCGGAGATGGCCCCGAAGGTCTGACGGGTCTTAAGGCTTTGGGCATGCGTGAGCTTAACTATCGTATGGCCTTTTTGGCCTGCAGTGTTCAGGCAACTAATGTACGTTTCGGTGGTACCGACTTACCCATGTCTGAGGTAACGGCTGAAGATATGAAGAAGCAAATGACAGATGCAGAGTGGAATAAGGTCTATGAAATGTCGAAGGATCGTAATTTGTATAGTAATTTGATTACCAGTTTATTCCCCTCGATCTATGGCAATGATGAGGTGAAACGCGGTATATTGTTGCAGCTGTTTGGTGGCGTAGGAAAGACCACACATGAGAGTAAGTACTAAGTGAAAATGCTGCTATTTTTGTGAAAAAGTTCTAATTTTGTTCAAAAGCTCTTTTTCACTGAAAAAGTCCTTTTTATTAAAAAAGCTCTTTTTAGTCAAAAATGGATTTAGCTTTTCTCTAATTTCCTAAAACTAACACCTTTCCTTTTCACTTTTCAGAAACCACTTTACGTGGTGATATCAACGTCTGTATTGTCGGTGATCCCAGTACGGCCAAATCACAATTCCTCAAACAAGTCGCTGACTTTTCACCTCGTGCCGTCTACACTTCCGGTAAAGCCTCTTCGGCAGCTGGTCTTACTGCTGCCGTAGTAAGAGATGAGGAAAGTTTTGATTTTGTCATCGAGGCTGGTGCCCTGATGTTGGCCGATAATGGTATCTGTTGTATAGATGAATTCGATAAAATGGATCCCCGAGATCAGGTAGCCATTCACGAAGCTATGGAACAGCAAACTATATCATTGGCTAAAGCAGGTGTTAGAGCTACACTTAATGCTCGTACTTCTATTTTGGCAGCTGCTAATCCCATTAATGGCCGTTATGATCGTTCAAAAAGTTTGCAACAGAATATTCAGTTGTCTGCTCCCATTATGTCACGTTTTGATTTGTTTTTTATTTTGGTCGATGAATGCAATGAAGTGGTGGATTATGCTATAGCACGTAAAATTGTCGATTTGCATTCGAATATAGAGGACAATATCGAAAGAGCTTATACCCGTGAGGAAGTTTTACGTTATATCACATTTGCCAAGCAATTTAAACCGATCATTAGTCAAGAGGCGTGTAAACTTTTGGTAGAAAACTATGGACATTTAAGACAACGTGATACTGGTACTTCGGGACGCAGCACTTGGCGTATTACCGTTCGACAATTGGAGTCTATGATACGTTTAAGTGAGGCGATGGCTAAATTGGAATGTATGAATGAGGTGCAGGAGCGTCATGTTAAAGAGGCATTCCGTTTGCTTAATAAATCCATTATAAGAGTAGAACAGCCGGATATACATTTAGATGACGATGATATTGATGAGGCATTTACCGGCGATGTGGATATGGATCATGGAAATGGCACTAATAATGGCACAGCCATGGATACTGGGGAGGGTGGAGAAACTGAACTTAATACTTCGGCGGGCCAGACCGCTTTGCAAAAGAAAAAACTTACTTTATCTTTTGAAGATTATAAAAATCTCTCCACTATGCTGGTTTTGCATATGCGCAACGAAGAGGCCCGCTGTGAAACGGAAGCCTCTGATACGGGCATGAAACGTAGTGATGTCGTCACCTGGTATCTAGAACAAGTGGCCGATCAAATTGAATCCGAAGATGAGTTAATATCACGTAAAAATTTGATCGAAAAAGTCATAGATCGTTTGATTTATCATGATCAAGTTATTATTCCCTTAAAAACTACCGAATTAAAACAGCCGGGCAAAAGTCCCAAACGCACAGAGGAGGATGAGGAAGAAGATGATCCTTTGTTGGTGGTACATCCTAATTATATTATAGAATAGTTTCGCATTTGTTAAACTTTACATTTTATAAAGAAAAATATCTTCATTTGGTTTCCATACATATTGACTTTGTAGTTTTTAAGTTGGCCCTCGATTAGAGGGCTAGAGTTACTTTTTTATGTTCATAGATTGTTAAGCAGGAAATTATTTCAATATTTTTGCAACAAAATTTTTATAAATAAAAAATCTTAAAGAAATTTTATTGGTTTTCTTACGTTTTCAGTAGAAATTTTAGGGTTTTGTAGAAAATTGCTTCCAAACTTAGGTATTTGATATCCAAATCTTCTATTTTACACTTATAAGAAAAAGGTTTCACAATTCGCTAGATGTTTTTAGTCAAAAAATATACTATTAGTGAAATTCTGACTACCACTTTCACCCAATTTCTCTTTTTATCCCAAATTTTTGGACAAATTTAAACTAAAATCTTTCTAAATTAAATTTGTTTTCCATAAATCACAAATCAAACACATCATTTAATTTATTTTTTAAACAATTTCGAATAGTTTATTTTATATAAAAAATATCTTCCCTTTTTCTGGAGAAGATTTTCACCAAAAACAATTTTATGTAAAGAAATAATAATTGTGCAAATAAAATAAAGAAAACTTAATAGTTTCCAACTTAAAATTACTAAAGAATGTGTGTTTTTTTTTTCTCTTATAAAATGCAAATGAAACAAATCTACTTCATGCTATTTAAAAGAAACTTATTTATGCCGGGAATACCTAAATTAACAAGAATGAACTGAAAACAGGTGTGTGTAAGCAAGCATTTTGGGTGATTTTTTCTTTTCAACTTAAACGCAACAGAACTTATAAACTACCAGTAGTTTAGCTTTCATCATCCTCAATTTTAGGCGCCAAATAGTAACGTATATAGCCCAGCTCTTGTATGCGATATTCAACCACCAAAGGAACATCTGCCGACATAGACAACTGTACTTGTCCCGATAAGGGTGTGGCCTTGGTAAAGGCATTCAGGTAACGACAGGCGAAAGTAAGTGTAACAGGCTCTTGCATTTCTATGACCACAGCCTCTTCCTCCTTGTCTACACTGGAAGTTTGAGCCAATTTAACATTGGCTGAACCTACATCACCGGAGGCCGAGAATTTCACACCCTCTTTGGTGCAGCAAATCAACATGCTCTCACTGAATTGTGCCAAATCACGGCAAATGCGGGCAAATTCCATCGAAGGCATACGCACTACACAGGAATAATCGGTTTCGGGTATACCCAAGTGTTCCTGATCGAGATTCATAAGTTTCATTTCGTAATCAGAAACCTTTTCATGATTGGGTGATTCAAACATAAAGGTCACAGTATCGGCATTATCTTGGGCCTTAATGGTAACGGTGTCATCATTGTTGGCACACTTTAAAATCTTAGCCATGCTGCCCAGGTTCATGCCCATGGATATATTGCGATCACAGCGGAATTTGTCAAAGCCATCACTTCGTAAAGTTAAAGAAACCAAGGAAACATGAGAATTATCCATGGCTTGTAGCTAATCAAAGAAAACCACCATAATTAACAAAATTTTCCATTAATTTCATTTCGCAACTTACTTGTATGCCGGAATCACTGCAATCGAAGGTGCCTTCATTTAACAAATCTTTGATGGCATCCAAGATTTTCTTTAGGATAGTAGCACTGATTAAACGGGCTTCGAACATTTTGTTTTCTTTTTTAAATCACTTATTTACACAATTATTTTTTTCAATAAATTACGTTTTAGCTGCTTTCCTGTGCGGCTTTTTACAATTAAATGTGCTTGCGTTTGTCTTGTTGTGTGCAAAAATTGCTTTTGTGAGATTCGCACAAAAAAAAGAATGACAGCAGAACGCTTGTTTTGGCGCCAAGTGTCAAAAGTAATTTTCACAAAGAAACCTACGCCGACAAGCAATAACGGCGACGGCGGTAATTTGTATCTTGTTATTTAATGAGAAATCCTTTAAGTTTATGAATAATATCGAAAGCCTTTAAAGCAGTTTTTATAAAGATTCTTCAGAAATGTATGTTTAGTGTAGTTCCGCTTGTAAAGGCGAAAATATAAGGTATCGATTTCGACTTTGAAATCTTTGAAATTTTTACGACGGCTAGAATTTGAAAACGGTTAACCAAACAGACACAGGGATCTGTGAATGTGTCGCAATTCTGTAGAGAAGCGCCACCATGCGTTGAGTAGCACTATGAAAGCATACTATACAAAAAGTGATGACAATAATTTTACTTTTGTGTACTTGATAGTAGGGTTCTATAAATCGACTTTCGAATAATCGAACAATCTACTTTTTGTCGAAAAAAGTCGAAAAGTCGAAGTCGACTATTTCGTTCCAAAAAAGTCGATAACTCGACTATCGTCTGTGAAAAAATCGAAAAGTCGACTTTGTTAATAAAAGTCGAAAAAAGTCGATAAGTCGAAAAAAGTCGAAGAAAGTCGAAAAGTCGTAAAAAGTCAAAAAGTCGAAAAAAGTCGAAAAGTCGACTATTTATAAAATACTTATAGTCGAAAAGTCTAAAAGTCGACTTTTAATTAAATGAAAAAAGTCGAAATGTCGAAAAATCGACTTTTCATAAAATGCAAAAAGTCGAAAAGTCGACTTTTAACTAAATGAAAAAGTCGAAAAGTCGACTTTTCGTTTCAACTATAGAACCCTACTTGATAGGTTTCTATAAATCGACTTTCGAATAATCGAACAATCAACTTTTTGTCGAAAAAAGTCGAAAAGTCGATGTCGACTATTTTGTTCCAAAAAAGTGGATAACTCGACTATTGTCTATGAAAAGGGTCGAAAAGTCGACTTTGTAAATAAAAGTCGAAAAGTCCAAAAACTTCGATAAGTCGAAAAAAGTCGAAAAGTCGTAAAAAGTCGAAGAAAGTCGAAAAAAGTCGAAAAGTCGTAAAAAGTCGAAAACACGAAAATAGTAGAAAAAAGTCAAAAATAGCCGAAAATTTTAAAAAAGTGGAAAAAAGTAAAAAACTCTAAAATAGTCGGAAAAACTCGAAAAAAGTAAAAAAGTAGTCGAAATAGTCGAAAAGTCGACTATTTATAAAATACTAAAAGTCGAAAAGTCTAAAAGTCGACTTTTAATTAAATGAAAAAAGTCGAAAAGCCGAAAAATCGACTTTTCATAAAATGCAAAAAGTCGACTTTTAACTAAATGCAAAAAGTCGAAAAGACGACTTTTCGTTTCAACTATAGAACTCTAGTACTTGACAGTTAGTTAGTTATACAGTAGTTTTCCGATTTAACGACCATTCAATTCTACGAACATCGCATTTAACGAACAAGCTAATTTTTCCTATTGACTACCTTAAATAACGAACAAAACTTGTTTTTTGTACTCTGTTTAACGAACTAATAAAAATATTATTATTTAAATGAAGATAAAATGACATTTATCAAAAATAACAAATAACCTAAGTTGTAGCAAAAAACTATACCGTTGTTTTAAGCGGTGCTTTTATACCCAAAACTGTAACACATTCTGGGTTCTTATTAAAATTTTAGTTCGATGTAGCTATGTCCGTCCTTCAGATAATGACTTTAACGCTCAATACTCGCTTAACAATACGAGTACGCCGATGAAATTCGATACAAAAATGTTCTATACTAACCGAAATCTCTAACAAATTTTATGGGAATCGGTCCATAATTGACCTTACCCTCCATATCAGGCCCCTTAAGAAAATTACTTCAACGCTCATTACTCGCTTAAAAATACGAGTATAGCGATGAACTTCGAGAAATAACGAGAAATAACTGAATTAAAAATACAGCGATTAAATTCGACACAAATATGGCTTGAAGGTGGGTATATAAGATTCGGAATTTTGTGTTTTGTGCTATTTTTATAAAAAAAAGAATTCATTTTTATAAAATACATTTAAAAAATATTTTATGTACCTATTTTAAATTATTTTCCTACCAAAAACCCACGTTTTAGTTAGTACTGCATATAACGAACTTTTCAATTTTACGAACAGGCCTGACAACATATGGGTTCGTTAAATCGGAAAACTACTGTACGTTAAAAATTAATAAGTTTTTATCTACATTACTTTTTAATGCATTTTTTACTTTGTCACCTAAAACTATGCAATGGTTGGTTACCACTTAAATGAACCATTAAGATTTGTTTCTTTAAGGCAAACACACATATGCATGCGTGTAACTACAATTATAAAAAAATTTAAACAAAGAGAGATTAAACTTTGCAAGTGCACAATTTCCGTTTCCTTTCTCTCTGTTTTTTATTCTTATTTTATATTGATAATTTGTATGTTAATTTTGTAATTTCTACAAAAAATTTATTGAATTTATTGGAAAATAGAATTAGAAATAGTATAAACATGACGTCATGTTATATGATCTAATAACAATTGTTGTAATTGTATATAATGGAGGCAAAAAAGTAACACAATTGTTGAATATAAAATATGCAAATTAAAAATGACTTTAATATAAAAACAAGGGTATTTTTAAAAGCATTTGAAATACATATGTATAACGAAATTATTATACAAATAAATATGTCAATAATAAAAATATAGATTATTACATTGAGGAAATGAGAATGTAAATAATGTACATACATATTTTCTAAGAAATGTTAAAAGAAAGAACATGTATTTAATTTAGCTGTCGTAACCTAATAACAAAATTTAAAAATAGGAAATATTTTTTTAAACAAAAGTTTCTACAAAACCTACAATTATATTTAACAATGTAAGCTTTCATTGGTGTAATAAATATGTAATAATTATTCAAAATAAATGAGTTAACAAAATAATATAGCTAAAACTTTTTGTGTTTAAACAACCACAGTTTGATAAACTATAGACTATATATGTATGTACTTACATACATATGTATGTATATGTATGTACATTAGACTAGACTAAAGATTAAAATTTCTAGACTAGACTATATACTACACTATAGACTAGACTATAGACTAAACTCTGGACTAGACTATAGACTAGACTATAGACTAGACTATAGACTAGACTAGACTAGACTACTAGACTATAGACTAGACTATAGACTAGACTATAGACTAGACTATAGACTAGACTATAGACTAGACTATATACTAGACTATAGACTAGACTATAGACTAGACTATAGACTAGACTATAGACTAGCCTATAGACTAGACTATAGACTTGACTATAGACTAGACTATAGACTAGACTATAGACTAGACTATAGACTAGACTATAGACTAGACTATAGACTAGACTATAGACTAGACTATAGACTAGACTATAGACTAGACTATAGACTAGACTATAGACTAGCCTATAGACTAGACTATAGACTAGACTATAGACTAGACTATAGACTAGACTATAGACTAGACTATAGACTAGACTATAGACTAGACTATAGACTAGACTATAGACTAGACTATAGACTAGACTATAGACTAGACTAGCCTATAGACTAGACTATAGACTAGACTATAGACTAGACTATAGACTAGACTATAGACTAGACTATAGACTAGACTATAGACTAGACTATAGACTAGACTATAGACTAGACTATAGACTAGACTATAGACTACTATAGACTAGACTATAGACTAGACTATAGACTAGACTATAGACTAGACTATAGACTAGACTATAGACTAGACTATAGACTAGACTATAGACTAGACTATAGACTAGACTAGACTATAGACTAGACTCTGACTAGACTATAGACTAGACTATAGACTAGACTATAGACTAGACTATAGACTAGACTATAGACTAGACTATAGACTAGACTATAGACTAGACTATAGACTAGACTATAGACTAGACTATAGACTAGACTATAGACTAGACTATAGACTAGACTATAGACTAGACTATAGACTAGACTATAGACTAGACTATAGACTAGACTATAGACTAGACTATAGACTAGACTATAGACTAGACTATAGACTATAGACTAGACTATAGACTAGACTATAGACTAGACTATAGACTAGACTATAGACTAGACTATAGACTAGACTATAGACTAGACTATAGACTAGACTATAGACTAGACTATAGACTAGACTATAGACTAGACTATAGACTAGACTATAGACTAGACTATAGACTAGACTATAGACTAGACTATAACTAGACTATAGACTAGACTATAGACTAGACTATAGACTAGACTATAGACTAGACTATAGACTAGACTATAGACTAGACTATAGACTAGACTATAGACTAGACTATAGACTAGACTATAGACTAGACTATAGACTAGACTATAGACTAGACTATAGACTAGACTATAGACTAGACTATAGACTAGACTATAGACTAGACTATAGACTAGACTATAGACTAGACTATAGACTAGACTATAGACTAGACTATAGACTAGACTATAGACTAGACTACTATAGACTAGACTATAGACTAGACTATAGACTACTATAGACTAGACTATAGAGACTAGACTATAGACTAGACTATAGACTATAGACTATACTAGACTAGACTATAGACTAGACTATAGACTAGACTATAGACTAGACTATAGACTAGACTATAGACTAGACTATAACTAGACTATAGACTATATATAGACTAGACTATAGACTAGACTATAGACTAGACTATAGACTAGACTATAGACTAGACTATAGACTAGACTATAGACTAGACTATAGACTAGACTATAGACTAACTATAGACTAGACTATAGACTACAGGCTTCACTTCTGACTAGATTATAGTCTAAGCTATATAATTTACAATATAAATTACAATATAAATTACAATAGATTATAGAATAGACTATTCTCTAGTCTATTGTCTAGTCTGTGGTCTAGTTTATAATATAGTCTACATTTATAGATTATT